TTAAATCCCTGTTCCTTATTGTGGGAGGCAGTAGTGTTTTTTTGCAGTTTCAGCAATGCTGGCAAGTGGCCAGGGCTGCGTGAAGGGCTTTAGGGACTATTCCACCTCTGCTTATTCCTTGGCATTGCTGAGTCCAGGGAATCCTGCCGAGTGAACATTGGGCACCTACTTGCTACAGCACCATGGACGTTGCAGCATCAGAAGGCAGAAGTGGGAGCAGAAGGATAACAGTGCAGTGTATTGTCCTCCCTGCGGTCAGAGGGGTGAAGAGACGTGACTGGCTGGCTTAGAGAAGAAACAGGAGCCCAAGCTCTTCTTTCCCTGTGCTGGAGACAGGCTGGTAAATAAATGGCTTTGCTGGGAATGGGTCGTTTCCCTGTCTGAGGATCAGCTGTAAAGATCACCTTGCTGGGCAGCTGATGAGCCAGGCTTGGATGAGTCACTTTAGCTTCCATGGATTTACTTACTCCTCCTCAGTGAGCGTGGGCAAATACATGAGGGCACACGCTATACCTCCCACACACACACACCTCCTATCTGCTGTTAGCAATTGTTTTTGGCTAGAGAATAGTATGACCTCAAATGATCTGGGGCTTCAGCAAGATCTTCTGCAACAGGCTTCTCAAACAGGGTGATGTGAGGAAAAGAGCTTACTCCTGAGAGTGCAGAATGAGCCTGGCTGACCTGGACTAGTTCCTAGGCTCTGGCACTGATTGTAGCACCCGTCTTCTCAACCTCAGTTTTCTCATCGGTAACATGAGAGAATAAACTTACACCTCCTGGGGTTATTCTGAAATAAATAAGGAAAGGAAAATGCTCTTTTACAAGTGATGCCCTACTCAGTCCCATAGACCTTTCTGGGGAACACTAGTACTGCAGGATTTTAACAAGGAGAAGGTAGAGAGAGGCTGTCAAACAGGAAACTGCTGACACCAAATTAAACAGCTGACTCTTACTCAGCACTGTGCCTTTCAGAAGGGAAAAAAAGTATATGCAGGATTCCCCAAATGGAACCACTTTTCACAGAGAGAATGCACTTTTGGAAGCACAAGACCAGATAGGAAGGATAATAGCTGACACTTACTGAGAGGTACTATATGCCAGGCACTGTTCGAAGCCCCTTTACTCATAGTCTTGTTTAATTCTTACAACATTCCATGAGAGGCTAGTGTTATCTCCATTTACCAATAAAAAAAAAAAAAAAAACTGGGCACAGAGAGGTTAGGTAAGTTACCTAAGATTACACAGTAAATTCAGAGCTGGGATCTAAACACTGGGGTCTGGCTCCTGAGCTCACTTATTTGATGGCCACCCTCTAAAACAAGGTAATACGAGGGCCTTATATATGTATTCTGTATTCATTAGCTAATTCAGCAAGTATTTGTAAAGCCCATATTTATGTCCAGACACCATACTAGACACTGGGCATACAACTGTAAAGACAGTCACACTTGCTGTCCTCAATGAGCATTTGGTCTAGTACAAAACATAGTCAAGTAAACAGACAATTGCAACCGAATGTACTAAATACTATAAATGAGAGATACTTAAGGTGCTGGGAGGGGGGCTCTCTGGAGGAATAATTGCCTCAAACTCAGGAATAATCACTGGAGGAGGGGACTTCTAATCAGAGGCCTAAAATGAATTGGCGTTAGTCAACTGAAGGCATGGGAGAGGGGAAAATGTTCTAGGCAGGGGAATAGTATTTGCAAAAGCTCAGAGGCAAGAAGGTACATTGGGAAGGGGATGATGAGATGTGAGACCTCAGAAGTGAGCAGGAGCCCTCCTCATAGACATTTTTTATTAGCTGGGCTATAGCACTCTGCTGACATTTGTCCCTGAACTGAATAACTCCAGCCTTGTTTCTTAAGTTCATCTGCTTTTTATGGTAAGCACCATTTACCTCTGTCATTGTGTTTAAGAAACAGTGTTATAATTTGTCTATTCCTGATTCTTGCATTAAACTGTTAATTTCTTAAAGTCATTACTCATTAGTATGTCTTCAGAAGCTATCACAATACACCGATGCTCAGTAAATGTTTGTTGAATGAATAATGTGTTTTCTTTGTAAAATGAATTCTATCCTTCCTGCTTTCTTGAGCCAACTATCACTTTTCCTCAGGTTCATCATTATATCCAGCAGTTAGTGTCCTATGTGGCAGTTCAGTGGTGCCCTCAGGGGCTTTTGAGGTGCTGTATTCTGTGACTTCCTCTTTCAGCTTTTTGTGCTATTTTTTTCCCTTCCTGCCTGGCCAGCACTTGATTGTAATAAATTTGCTGGATTCTGAAGCCTCCTCCCCGGCCTTCTTGTTTGTTTCTCCTAATCTGTAGTGGGCTAGAAACAAGATCACTTATCATGATTTGATAAGACTGTTTGTGACCAGGAGTTAGTAATCTCTGAATTAGTTCCTAAAGAGTTCTCGTATGGGGAAAATGCAGATGCACGTGGGACTTGTATGTTAGCTACTCAGAGGCCTTCTTCCTGTTCTCCTTGCTCTGGGAAAGGTCAGGCAATACTTGGGGTTGAGGGCAGTCCTCAGTCTGGAGAGCCTCTGTGTGAGGCAGAAGAGCTGATCTACCATTGTTTATCTAAACTACTGTTCTTCAGCTACACACTCCGCCAAACACTTGAAATGCTTCCACCTTAGCTTATCTAGGGGGTAGCTACAAACCTCAGGGCAATCTCTTTTAAGGCAAGTCCCACCAAGAGTGTGCTTGTACCTTCATTTGAGCAGAGAAAGAAGGAATAGGAACCAAGGCTGAGATCAGAATATCTGGGCTCCAATTCCCTCATTTGCAAAATTAGAGTGACATGATAATTATGTAAAAAAAAAAAAGAGAGCACTCAGATTAGATCTGTTTTTTGTTTTTTGTTTTTTGTTTTTTTTTTTATGATAGTCACACACAGAGAGAGAGAGGCAGAGACACAGGCAGAGGGAGAAGCAGGCTCCATGCACCGGGAGCCCAACGTGGGATTCGACCCCGGGTCTCCAGGATCGCCCCTGGGCCAAAGGCAGGCGCCAAACCGCTGCGCCACCCAGGGATCCCTAGATCTGGGTTCTAATCTTCACTCTACCACTCACTGATGATGTGACTTCTGTACCTCAGTTTCCTCATCTGTACAATGGGAATTATAATACCTATTATATAAGGTGGTTAGAATAATTAAATAGATTCTGTGGAGTGACCATGCCAGGCATAGAGTGGAAGAAGGTTAGTAAGTGACATTTACTAATATTAGGAAGAGATGTGACAGTCTTCTGGTTTGGGGGACTTTTAAATAGGAGCTCTAGTTTCTCAGGAGAGGAAGTGCATAGATTCCATCCCATGACCATTAGGAAAAGAATGATTTAGAAATGATATGGTGTGGAGCGCCTGGGTGGTTCAGTCAGTTAAGTCTGCCTTCAGGTTGGGTCATAATCCCAGGGTACTGGGATTGAGCCCTGCAGCCAGCTCCCTGCTTAGTGAAGAACTTGTTTCTCCCTCTCCTTTTGCCTGCCGCGCCCCCTGCTTGTGCTCTCTGTCAAACAGTTAAATAAAATCTTTAAAAAAGAAATGGTATGGTGCTTTTGACGACCTTAGCAAGATTCCCTCTTGACTGAATTATACCCTTTATCCAATGGGAGATAAGAAGAGTCTACCATTGTAGACTCTGTGCTGTGGGCTGGGGGCTATAGGTAGGTAGTACCCAAATTCTGCCTCCAAGAAACTCATCTGAAGAGGGAACATAAGACAATAACTCCAATAATTTCTACATGAGGCAGAAACTTTGTTGTTTACACAGGAGAGATCTTGTTCTCTGGGGTCTCATCTCCAAGGCAGGGCCCCAGAGGTGGGGTATCCGTCCGATTTATTGTCCAAATGGGGACTGCCCAGGATGGTAGGCATAAACCAGACCTATCCAGGATGAACCAGAAATACATGGTCACCCAACAAAGAGGGTCCTGTAAAAATGATGGAACTGGTATTAGGTTCTTTTGTATCAAATTGAAGAGAGTCATGAATATTAGCACTAGAGTGAACCAGATTCTTTGGTTCTTTGACCACATGAAATGCTTGTTCTCTTACCTTAAAAAAAATGTTCACAATTACATTATTAAAGATAAAAAAGATTATAAAATTGCAATATAGTAAGCCCTAATTTTGAAGGACAAATTTGCATGAAAGATATATGTGCTTTGTAGGATTTGTATGTAGGAGATACATACGTACATATATGTGTATATATATAGATATATATACTTATATATTATATATATATATATATATATATATAGAGAGAGAGAGAGAGAGAGAGAGGAGAAAGACATATACCAAAATATTAAACGTAGTTTCTTGAGTTGCTGAGCTGTTGATATCCTTTCTACTTTGTACTTTTCTATGGTTTCAAATTTCTAATGGCTTTTAAAAATTAAAAAAAAGTCCTTTACAAAATACTATTAAATACTCACTAGATTATAAACATCTTTGAAATAGAGAGGTATGTTACAGTTTTGCTAGGAACAGCCTGTTTTTCCCACCTACCTACCATCCCTAGCGTGTCCCCCAGCCTCTTCTTTCACCTGGGTAACTTCTCTTCACCCTTCAAGACTCTCATCTTTTGGGATACGGTCTCAAGTCCAAATTGAGCTAAGCTCCCCTCTGCCTTTCTGTATCATCCTGTTATAACTCTAACATAGCATTTATCTCAAATAGTACTATAAACGTCTGTTTTTGTTTACCTTCTTTATCGAGTTGAGTCAAGGTCCATATCTGATTCATTTTGGAGTCCCCAAATGAATCCTAACACATAATAGATGTCAGTAAACATTCATGAACTAACTGGTCTTGTTTTACCTCCTCTTGCCCCTCACAGATGGCCCAGCACATAGTAGGTGCATTATATGTTTAGTAAGCAGGTGGATGACTGAGGGAGGGAAATAAAACACGGAGAGAAAGGTGAGATTGGTGGCTCATGGCATTAGGTGCTGATGGAAGGGTTTGTGTTGCTGTCCCCACAGTCCTGGTCACCCGAGAGGATGACTTCAACAACCGGCTGAACAATCGTGCCAGCTTCAAGGGCTGCACAGCCCTGCACTATGCTGTCCTCGCCGATGACTATCGCACTGTCAAGGAGCTGCTTGATGGAGGTGAGTGCCTAGGTGAATGGGGCTTGGGGTTGGCAGGGAAAGAGTACTTGGCACCCTCTCCACTCTGGAACATTGAGTTTCCCCAGAGCTCTGTTACTCTCCCAAAGCTGGAAAATGCCCCAAGGGTGGCTACAACTCATGAGAGTGGCTCTGTGCATGTGTGATTTGCCTTTGTGTGGCTGGAATGTGTTCTTTGCCTATGTGTGGGTCATGTACCATACCATGCCGCCCATCCACACATGCCTGAGTTGCTCTGAGTTTTCTTGATTGTGCCTCTCCCCAAAAGTGTCCTCTCCTCTCCCCTGTGACCTCCAGAGCAGGGCTAGTGGAGCAAGGAGAGAGGCCCTTCAAATCTCTACAAATGCAGGCCTCAGAGACCTCCTCCTTGATCCCATCCCCTGCCTCAGTTTAAATTAGGTCCCTTCCATTACACTGGATCATAGCACCCTATTCTTTACCATCGTCACTCTTGTCACAATCCGGAATTATTTTCATGTGTTCATTAGCCTTCTCCCTAACATGGCTCTGACTCCCTAGAAGCCAGAACCATGGCTGATTTGTTCCAAGCACCTAGTATGGTACCTAGCATACAGTAAGCACTCAATAAATCTTTGTTCACTGATTGAATACCCTTCTTTTGGAGAGTATTGGTTTAAGTGGAGGGGCAGTATGTGCCATCCTCAGATTCGGGTGGGGCTTATCCTAGCTGGTATAGAGTTACCTGTCACCCTGCCAGTTACTTCCTAAGCTGTCACTTTTCCCTCCTACTTGCCTTTGTCCCATTCTGACCTCTCCTTGGGATAGGGAGAAATGCATCTTGCCAAGGTGTTGTCATGCCTAGGCTTCTGAGTATGTCACCTGACTGCCTGTTCATACCCTTGCTACCACTTCTTGAGGGCTTAGGGACCCTCTTTTGGGCCTGGATGCCAAGGTCCTCCTTGTCAGTGGTCATTCTTCATAGAGCCTCAGAGCCGGAAGGAACCTCAGTCACCCTGAGTCACCCTGATTGCTTGCTCCCCCTCCTCCTGGCAGGAACCTCCAACAGCTGGCAGGCTGGCATTTCCTTGGATCCTGGCAGGAACTGAGGGAACTCTACTTATTCCCCAGGAGTCCAGTCCGTTTTCATTCTTTAACTGGTTAAAATGCCCTTTTTTTATATAAAAATACACTGATTTTCCTTCTCTGTAATTTCTGCCACCTGTCTTCTGCAACCTAATTACTTTTTCAAAATCCAGTATTCAGAGAAAGTTCTTTCAATCTCAGAGCCCTTGCCTCCACAGCCTAACATTCCTTGATTGTGTTCTAGTCCTTGTCATATGATTGGGTTGGGGGGATTTCCCAGTAATCCTGAAATCCTGTCACCTTCTATCAGCCACAGCCACATTGGCTTTGAACCTAGGCCTGGCCCATACCCCAGCCTGGGTGACCTGCCCCAGGGCAGCAGAGTGTACATGGGTCTGCGGCATGAACACTGTGAGGTGTAGGACTGCTGGTGGATATGGTGACAGTGCCTGGGATGATTGGTGGTTTCAGAGCAAGTACTCACTACTCTCAGAAGCAAAGACTTAGGAAACATCTCCAAGCAAGATGCTACTCACTTTGTCCTTTGGAAAGATCTCAGGCAGGACATTTGCAGCTAAGAATTGGAGCATTCACCATGGGGTTTCTTGCTGCCAAGCTTTAAAATCAATCAGTACTCCCAGTTATTGTCCAGTGGTTTACATTCCCTGCTTCCCCTCAGCCCCCAAACAGACAGGGAATTCACTCTAAAGAGAGACCCTCTCCCCAGCCTTCCAGATCGAACACCTTTGAAATGAAGATGCACAGGCCTTTTATGAAGTACCCCCACCCTCACCCCCCAGGCCAAGGCTGGTCCTTTGAGCTGTTCCAGGGGCATGGTTCCTGCCCATTGACTTGGAACAGATGCCCTTAGCCCCCAACTTAACAGTTCTCCCACCTGCCTTTTTACCCAGCATCCATTTACACCCCCTGCCCTAGCCTCCCAGCCTCAAGGGCCAAAACCATTAACCCACTTATTTCTCCTTTCCCGACCTGAACAAGTGGCCGTCACTCACGGCTTGCAGGCCTGCCAACTTCTGTCCTCCCTCCCCCCTTGACCTCTCTTGGTCTGCCTGTGTGTGTGACCAGCCAACCGAGAGGCAGGATCCTGCTCCCTTGTCCTAGAGGCTATTGCCAGTCACATTTCCAAAGTCTTCTGACCTCAGCTGACCTCCTCCCAAGGGTTTCAGGAAGGCAGGAAGGCCTGCCTTCCTGCCCATCTAGCTTTCTTGGCCTGAATTTGCCACTGGCTTTGCTGCAGCAACGTTGAGAGGCTCTCTGGGAGATCCAGGCAGGCCTAGGCACAGGGGCAGCTGGTACTCACGAGGCCCACACAGAACCCTGATGTTTGAAATTGCTTAGTCCATAGGGTTTTAGAGCCCCCAGATTGTAGCGGGTTAGAGCTAGAGGAGGCAACCACTCTTGTCTCTGGCCAGGGGTCCCCATGTGAGAGCTGGGAAGTAGGTCAGGCAGCATCAGTTTGTTGATTTGGGAAGTTCTCTGACCCCTTAGGAGGCAGCATGGAGTAATAGAAAGGACACCTCAGACTTCAGAGTCAGGTCAACCTGGGTTTGAATGCCACCTCCCCCACAAACAAGCTGTATTGCCTTGTATGTTTTGCCATAATTCTCCTGGCCTCAGTTTTCTTGTCTGTCAGATAATACCTGGGAATTATCACAGGGATAACATGAGGACTAGTGATAATGTCTGGAAAAGCCCCAATACACGGTCGTGGCGCCATGATTGTATAAAGAGGTCAAGCTCTCCCCCTGACAGCTATAATCCTCATTTCTTCCTCATGTAAAACCTGTGCTTCTGCCTAAAGACTTCTTAATTCTCTTTCTGCCACAACTTCTCCACCCTGCCTAAAACACCATCGTGTTCCCTCTCTTCTCATCTAGATCCTTGGGCCCTTCAAGGCCTCCCTCTCTCAGGAAGCTTCTCTTGGTGCCTTGGTCCATTTTGATAGCACCACTTCTAAACTCTTGCGGTGTTGGGCTGGGTGCTTAGCACAGGTCATTTCTTCATCTTTAGAAGGTCCTGTAATGTAGTAAAAAGAATACAAGTTTGGGAATCTGACAGACCTGTTTTTGTTTTTTTTTTTTTAAGATTTTTATTTATTTATTTATTCATGAGAGACACACACAGAGAGAGAGAGAGAGAGGCAGAGACACAGGCAGAGGGAGAAGCAGGCTCCATGCAGGGAACCTGATGTGGGACTCAATCCCAGTTCTCCAGGATCAGGCCCTGGGCTTAAGGCGGCGCTAAACCACTGAGCCACCCAGGCTGCCCAGACCTGGGTTTAAATCTCTGCTCTGTACTGTCACTGTGGGCTAGGTAGTTGTCATTTCTGGTAGACCATGGACATCAGGGCATCCTACAATGGATCAGGCAAATTGACCCTGATCCCAAGAGACTCTCAGAGTGGTAGAGGAGATAGATACAGAAACAGGCAGTGACAGCGGGGTGGGTGTTGGCAGGGGACTGGACAGGAGCTCTGGAGACATAAAGGAGGAAATACCTACCTCTGCCTAGTGAGCAGGAAGGTGGAGTTAGTTACAGAAAGCTTAGGGGGAGGGGGTAGAAGATGTGTATGCTTAAGCCTTATCAGGAAGGATAATGGGAATTTGCCAGACATATTTCTGTGGATGGATTCTTAGTTCCAAATTCACCAATTTTCTACTCATGAGCTCCACACAGAAGTGGAGGTCTTTGTGGTTTTCATTCTGCGAACGTGCTGCTTCTGCCCGTGTTGTTGGCTTATGAACTAGAAAGCTGTACCTCAGCACTTGACTGCCAGGTACAAGAAAAGGTTTGAAGGAGATAGTAGGGAGAGACATAGATGACTGGGAAAAGGAGTAATCAGGGAGGGTGGGGAGACACCTCCCTCAAGCCACTGGAGCTGACTTCCCAGTATTTCTAGGGCTCCTCAGAGACTTTCGTAGCCTTTCCTCCCAGGGATGTGATTCCACTGCCAGATCTACCTTCCTAAGACATACCTCCAATAATGGCAACTCTTCTCAACCAGGGTTCCTCCAGAGAATTGAGCCCTAATACTCTAAAGTTGTCCACTGTTCACAAGGAATAACTCCTCTCCCAGGCATCTAAAATGGTACAAGTTATGCACCATTCTTGGGAGAACTGAGAAAATCATTCCTCAGATAATTTCCTGTATGTGGTTCAGAGGAGAAACCCAGTTGAAGAAAGTGGCAAGGATGGGATCCCTGGGTGGCGCAGCGGTTTGGCGCCTGCCTTTGGCCCAGGGCGCGATCCTGAAGACCCGGGATCGAATCCCACGTTGGGCTCCTGGTGCATGGAGCCTGCTTCTCCCTCTGCCTGTGTCTCTGCCTCTCTCTCTCTCTCTCTCTCTCTCTCTCTCTCTCTCTCTCTCTGTGTGACTATCATAAATAAATAAAAATTAAAAAATAAAAAATAAAAAATAAAAAAATAAAAATAAAAAATAAAAGAAAGTGGCAAGGAAAGAGCATGAGCTGTGGAGTCAGGATCTGAATGCGAACCCTGCCATCAAATAGCATGTGATCCTGGGCAAGCTCCTGACTGCTCTGAGGTTCTCTTTCCCCATCTGGAAATGGGAGTATGCCACCTACTCTCAATGGTTTTGTCAGGATTAGGGCATGTATAGGTTCTACAAAGTAGGTACTTTATAGATAATACCTATTATTATTAACTTCAGAAACACCCGGTGTTTATTTGTTAAAAAATAAATACAAACTAGGGGCACATGGCTGGCTCAGTCTCTAAAGCATACGATTCTTGATCTTGGGATTGGAGCTCCACATTGGGTATAGAGATTACTTAAAGAAAATAAAACCTCTAAAATAAATACATACACATACACATATATACGAAATATAAAAAGAATCCTACCCATCCTAACTTCTTAAGCTGCTTTTGGAGTTGTTCTAGTCTGACCCTCACTT